TGAGGTTGATGACTGGAGATTTGACTACGGTTTTGTCAGCTGAAATTGTTGAAATAGAAAAGGGAAAGGCCCATCACTTTAAAGCAGGGTTAGCACAGTAAAAATATTATAAAATTAAAAATAGTGTTTTCTTAGTTGTTATAAATAGGCCCAAAACTCTTCAGGAAATCTATTCAAAAAACAACTCCACATGTTGAAGAGAGAAAAAAAAATAGAGAGTTTCTCATTGTAAAAAGAGATTGTAACTCTAAAGTTTTTTCTTGTTGTGAATTCTTCTATTATTGCTCGTGGTTTTTACCCCATGTGTTCCTTTTATTTTTACTATTTGTTGAGACTGTTCCATTAGGCTCCGAGTTTGTCCTAACAAGTGATATTAGAGTCTAGCTTAGGGTGCGTGTATCTATTTATCGTATGCTCTGTGGCTGTCACCAAAGGTGAATCTTCCACATCAGAAAATAAGTTAGATTATCATTTACCATTTAAAGGTGATGGGTCCTATTCACGAGCACATCACTATTCATAAACACAGTACTATTCAGAAGTACAGTATTATTCAGAAGTACAACACTATTCACAAATACAGTTATTGTTCATAAATAAAGTTGCTGTTTACAAGAAATAGTAAGAAGTTACTGTTCGTGGTAGAAGCAATGGCGGCGAAGTTCGAGATAGAAAAATTCAACAGGAGTAATTTCTCACTTTGAAAGTTGAAGATAAAGGTTATCTTGAGAAAAGATAACTGGCTAGTGGCCATCCCTACAAAGCTAGATGACATCACAGATGATAAGAAGTGAAACGAGATGGATGGGAATGCTATTGCAAATCTCCATCAGGCATTAGCAGATGTGGTCTTGCCAAGCATAAAGGAGAAGAAGATAGCAAAGTAGATATGTGATACTCTAACAAAGCTATATGAGGCAAAATTCCTGCACAACAAAATCTTCTTAAAAAAGAGATTTTACACTAAGGATGGCGGAATCTACATCAATGATCATCCATATCAACACCCTAAACACACTATTCTCCCAACTCACAACATTGGGGCATACAATCAGTGTGAATGAACGTGCAGTTTAGATAGTGTGAATGAACGAGCAGAACTTCTACTTCAGAGTCTACCTGACTCATATGATCAGCTCATCAACTTAACAAACAATGTCCTCACAGACAATCTAGTCTTCGACAACGTTACAGCCGTTGTTCTAGAGGAAGAAAATCGGCGCAAGAACAAGGAAGACAGACAGACAAGTTCGCAACAAGCGGATGCATTATCGGTGATGAGAGAAAGATCAACGGAACGTGGCTCCAATAAGTGTCATACTCATGGTAGATCAAAATCAAGAACAAGAATATCAAATGCTACAATTATGGTAAAAGAGGGCACGTGAAATCGAAGTGTTGGCATAATAAGAAAAATGGTGATAAAAAGTCTTCAGAGCCATCAACATCTCAAGGATGCGTTGTCAGCACTTTAGATGATAGTGAAATTTTATACATTGGAGCAACCACTGTTGATGAAGGCAGAAAGATGTTTGCTGATGTATGGCTTCTAGATTCAACAGCTTCCTGACACATGACCTCCTGGATAGAATGGTTCCACAAATATGAACCTATCTCAAGAGGATCTATATTCATGGGCAATGATCATACCTTGGAGATTTCTAGTATTAGCACTATCAAAATCAAAATGTTTGATGGTAAAATACGCATCATTCAAGATGTATGGTATGTGAAAGGCTTGAAGAAGAATCTGTTATCTTTAGGACAATTGGATGAGCTCGGGTGCAAGACCCATATAGAAAATGAGATCATGAAGATTGTTAGAGGGGCGCTTATTGTCATAAAATGAGAAAACATAGCTGCAAATTTATACATGCTCAAGGAAAAAACCTTACAGGAAACTGATTCATGTGTGACATCAATTAGTCATGGAGAAAAACAAACCATGATGTGGCATCACAAACTAGGTCACATGTCAGAACGAGGCTTGAAGATTCTCTCCGATCAGAAGCTGCTTCTTAGACTTAATTTGGTAGCTCTTCCATTCTGCGAGCATTGTGTTACAAGTTAGCAGCATTGGCTGAAGTTCAACACATTGAGTTCTAGAAGCAAGGCTATTTTGAAACTAGTTCATTCTGATATATGGCAAGCACCAGCTACATCCATAGGAGGAGCAAAGTACTTTGTGTCCTTTATTGACGATTACTCCAGGAGATTTTGGGTGTATCCTATCAAGAAGAAGGCGGATGTGTTCTTAATCTTTAAAGCCTACAACGCGCGAGTCGAGCTTGAATCTGAAAAGAAGATCAAGTGCTTGAGGTCAGATAATGAAGGAGAATACACAGATGATGAATTTCTTGCATTCTGCAAGCAAAAAGGCATTAAAAGACAATACTGCTTATACTCCTCAATAAAATGGAGTGACGGAGCGAATGAACATAACTTTGTTGGAAAGAACAAGAGCAATGTTAACAACTACAAATCTGGATAAAGTCTTTTGGTCGGAAACAGTAAAAACCGCGTGTTATGTGGTGAATCGATCTCCATCAACTGTAATATAGTTAAAGACGATAATGGAGTTGTAGACTGGCAAGCCAGCTAATTATTCCAACCTTCATATATTTGGAAGTTCAGTGTACGTAATGTACAATGCCCAAGAAATTACAAAGCTAGATTCAAAATTCAAAAAATACATATTCTTGGGGTATGCTGACGAAGTAAAAGGGTATCGCTTGTGGGATCCCACTACTCGTAAGGTTATCATCAGCAAAGATATTATCTTTGTAGAGAATCAACTACAAAGTGAATAAAAAGAAAGTAGTTTAATGAAGGGCTCAGAGACTGTAGCTGTTCAGGTAAAGAATTAATCCAAAATTATTCTGAAGCAACACCAGAGCATGATGTACAAGAACCAGTCGAGTTCAAGGCTCTTGAAGTTCGAAGGGCAACTCGTGAGAGAAGACCACTGACTTGGCACTCAGAGTATATTACAGAGAGTAATGTTGCATACTGTCTTCTAACAGAGGATGGAGAGTCATCAACTTTTCATGAAGCTATAAATAGCACATATACATCTTTGTGGATGACAGTAATACATGAAGAAATTGAAGCTCTCCATAAGAATAAGACTTGGGTACTTGTATCACTGCCACAAAGAAGAAAGACCATTGAAAATAAATAGGTTTATAAGATCAAGCGAAATGACGATGATCAAGTGAAGCAATATCGTGCTAGCTTGGTGGTAAAAGGATATGCTAAAAAAGAATGTATTGACTTTAATAAAATATTTTCTCCTGTAGTTCGACTTATAACAGTCCGAATAGTCATGACTATGAGCGCTATATTTGACTTGCATCTAGAGTAACTAGATGTGAAAACAACATTTCTTCATTGAGATCTTGAAGGAAAAAATTTACATACTCTAACCAGAACGTTTTGAAGAAAAAGGAAAGATAACTTAGTTTGCAGATTGAACAAATCTCTGCATAGTCTAAAACAGACGCCGAGGTGTTGGTATAAGAGATTTGATTCATTCATCATGAGCCTTGGATACAACAGACTTAATTCAGACCCTTGTGCATATTTCAAGAGGTTTTGTGAAAATAAATTTGTCATCTTGTTGTTGTATGTTGACGACATGTTGGTTGCATGCCCTAATAAAGATCGTATCAAAGAATTAAAGGCACAATTGGCTAGGGAATTTAAAATGAAAATGTTAGGATCTGCAAATAAGATTCTAGGGATGCAAATTTACCAAGACGGAATTAATAGGAAGATTTGGCTTTCTCAGATGAATTATTTGAAGAAAATCTTGTGGCGCTTTAATATGCAAGATTCTAAGTCAATTTTCACCCTACTTCCTGTTAAATTTAAGTTATCATCCATTATGAGTCCTAGCAGTGAAGAAGAGAGGATGAAGATGTCTCAAGTACCGTATGCATCAGCAGTGGGAAGTTTAATGTTCGTTATGATTTGTACAAGATCAAACATTGCACAAGCAGTGAGAGTGGTCAGTCGATACATGACGAATCTTGTTAAAGAGCATTGGAATGTTGTAAAGAGGGTTCTAAGATACATTAAGGGAACCTTAAATATTGCATTATGTT